TCTCTGTACAAACCACTCACCCAGAGAGACTTGCCAGCCGACATTCTGTCAGCGGCATATCCCCCCGAAATAGGCATGGGCATCCGCCAAATAAAAATCTACAATGGACATGCAAAAGAAAACCCACATGGTATCGACCGTGAAACAAAGAATCAAGGCTGCCTCAGACATTCCCCGTCTCTCAGTAGGCAACCTGTACGTTGAAGCCTCCATGGAACACGGATGAATGCAGAATTGCCACGGCAAAGTCTCACTGGTTCCACTGTCGATCCTGATGGTTTCCATAGTCATAGCTGGACCAGCCATCTTGGTTGCTGCCTCGTTGCCCATCTCTGGTCCAGTTGCCCCAGTCGTCATCGTCTGCGGCATTTGCATCTCTCCGTTGTGTGACATCTGGTTGATGCCGTTGCCACTCACTGCTGCGTCTCGCTTGCCAGTCGTGCCATTGACTTCCTGCTTCCCAGTTGGCCGTGCTTTCAGCTTCAGCCTGGTTGGATGCAGGAGCTGGAGCAGCTGACTGGCGAGGTGGTGGAGTGCTGCGTGATCTATCGGATCGATAGTTGGCCTTTGTAGCTTTTCGGCGGGCCCGCTCCTTGTTCTTCTCTTCGAGGAAACCCGGCTTCAGGACTTGCTTGGAATACCCATGTGACCAGGATTTCGGGAAATCCTCAAAGGAGGCCCCCTCCATTTCAGCCAAGGCTCGCTGATGTCGGGCGGCCCGTTGCCGGCCCTTTTGGCGTTGTTTGGCCTCCGCATAGGTGAAGCCATCCTTGAGATCCTTCTCGAATTTGCCTGGGTGCATTTCGGGCAGTGGACGAGTGCTGAACTCAAAGTTGAGCTCCTCCAGTTTGCTCTTGCACCGCTTCCATGCTTGGGAGCGAAGCGTCTTCCTCATCTCTGGGGGTGCTCGCAGGAAAGCTTCCACTTTCGTCTTGGTCTTCTCGAGCAGCTCCTCATCTTCTGCCTTCTCCTCAGGGGTTCGATCATCGTCATCACCATAGTCGACTTCAGACTCGTCAAACCCAAAGTGGTTCACCTCAGTGGGCGGAGCGCCCTCAGAAGATGATGCTGTTGCGCCTGAACCGAGTCCCATAGCTCTTGCCGGCATGGCATAGTTGGCTGCTGGCAGTGGCGGAGGGGGCTTCTTTGGTGCTGGTGTCTTCTGCATCAGCACTGGAGGAACTGGTTTGGGGGCTAGGGCTTTCGGCGGCTCCTTTGGCTCAGGTACCTGTTCTGGATGAGCTGGCTTTGGAAGTGGCGTGGCGGCGGAGCCACCTTTGGGGGAGCCGAAAGCATGGGAGGCTTAGGAGGTGGTGGCTTCTTGAATTCGACACCTTTCGTCCCTGCCATTAGCCATGCTTTTGCGCTGGGATGCATTTTTAGAAGCCCCGGATGGTCTCCCAAACATGCCTCCCGGACCTCTTTTGGGACAGAAGTCATAGGTGGAGCACCTTCAATCAGCATCTTGGCCCGTCCTCTGTTCACGAAATCCATGAACTGGAGCAGTCCTTGCATCACGGCTTGATCGAAGGTTTGGAAGACTTGCTCAGACCCGGTCCCCTCCTCAGGGAGCTCTTCCCATGCCGGCTCGTCCCAATCATCTTCATCGAATTGGTGGTCTTGGAGGATGTCCATGTCATCGTCTTCAGCTTCCACCTCAACATACACATAGTCATCCTCGTTGTCTGGGACGGTGCTCTCCGGTGGAAGGTCATCTTCGACCCAAGGCTCAGACCGGGGCTCCAACCAGCTCGAAGGGGCCCTATATCTGGATGACGTCTCTGACCACCAAGACTCAGACGGAGCGTCTGATCGTTTCACCCCTACATCTGCCAGTGCGATGCGAGGAACTCGCAAATCGTCCACCATGCCCCCTCCAGTGTATGGTTGGGTCGCCCTGGGGAAATGCTTGGCCGGTGTTGGCGGTGCTCCCTTTGGAATAGCTTGCGTGGGTGCCATTTTTTGCATTGGTGGGGTGGTAGGTCCTCTGGGCCTCCCATCATCATTTCTTGGTGGCGGTGCTTTCCTTGGCTTCGCACTTGAGCTCGGAGTAGGCGGATTCGCGGGCGGTGGAGGTTTCCTTGGCTTTTGCGCGGTCCCTGCTGGAGCAGGAGGGGCTTTGGCTGGGGGCGGTCCTCCTTGCGCTCCTCCTCCAGGATATCCCTGTGAAGGGGGGGGGGCGGTTTACGAGGCACCTCCCGGCCTGCTCCTCCCGAGCTGCTGGCTCCTGCGCCAGCAGGAGTGGAGGACCGATCAAAACTTGATCTGGCTTGTTGGAATGATGAAGCTTGCTTGGCATAGACACCAGCTGGAACAACTGGGGAACGGCCTCGCCCATGCTTTGCAGCAATTTGCTCTTGTCTCCACCTCATGTATTGAGTGGCCATCAGTGGATCCAAGAGGATCTCTCGGACCATTCCCAACATCTTAAACTCCTCTCCTTTGGCTTTCTGGACATCTTCCCCAGCAGTTGCAAAGCGGTCTGGATGAGTCTCACGGGACCTGCGACGATATGCGGTGAGCACCTGAGCTGGAGTCGCACCGGGTGGAACACCCAGGAATTGATAAAGATCTAGTCCTGGGTGAGCTGCTACAAAGAGGTTCGCTGCATTGGCTCGATCTGGAGCTGCTGGCTTTCGTCCCCCATCGGCACTTTCATCAGTAGCATCCATAGCACCAGCCTTCACTGCAAACGATACCTTACGATCTGGTGCCCACGAAAATGCACGATTGGTGTTTGAGCCTCGAGGAGCTCTGGATGTTCGCTTCGTGGCAACTGGGCTGCTAAAAGGGTTTGATCCTCCATGACTGTTATGGAATAACTCATCTTGAGGGACCCTCAATAAACCAGGATAGGACTCTTGGGGTTCAGTTGGAACAACCGCTGGATGCCTACGGACCCCGGGGTCTTTTTGGCTGGGGAGTGTAATGAGGCTGGTACCCAACATCCCTTCTGAAATCCCTTTCTGAGCGGTATGATCTTCATAAAGGGAAGCATGAACAGCATCGGATGACCAACCACCGTACCTCTTAAGCCTTTCTAAGTCCCCAGTACTTGCGAAAAATGCAGTGGCTCCCCCCTTACGTAGTGAGTGTGAACCAGCGAGTTCGCCAGGAAACCCGGCGGCCAATGCAGCTATCTTGATGAAATGGGTGATGCCCTCTCTGTCAAGCCCCGTCCCGTCTTCATAGCGGAACAAAGGCGCCTCGTCTTCAGGGCTGCGCCACCGATGGGGCTGTAGGACCTGTAGCGCGGCTAAGGCTTCAACAGGGCAGAGATCTCCACCGGAGCGGTGGTGTGACCGTGTTTGGCCCCTACCATACTGATCGGTTTTTGAAGATCTAATCTGCACTACGACTTCATCGGCCTTGGCGCCTATGGTAGGCTGCCCATGCGAAAAGAAAGCAACATCAGCTGGGCGGAGCGCCCTATTCATGGGGTCTTCTCCATTGATACTGGGCAAGAGTTCACTGGCCCGCATCATGAAAAACCAACCTGTAAGAAGGGCTCCTTTGATCATGGTTTGATCGACAACTGATAAACCGCTACTTTTCAAGTGCTGGACCAACCATCGCAACATGTTGGGGGTAACAGGGAGGTTTCGTTTTGGGGCGCCTTCCCAACGTTGTAGACCCGCAACCGCTGCCCACAACCGAGGTCGCCCGACCAGTGGATCAGGGTATCCTGCCGCAACATGTGCATAACGAATGGCTGACAACCTTTGTCTGACCCCACCTATGGACCTTCCCATGACTTGATGTAGAAATACTACAAACCGAATCAACCTCTGCTCGTCTTCAGTCCGAGCGGAGCGCTCTTCTCCGTCAAGGAACGGGTGAGTGCCCGAGCTGGCATTGTACAACGCCCATTGCTTCCAGCCTGATGCATAGACCCTGCGAGTTGAATCAGCCAGTTTGGCCAAGACAGCTTCCATGGCTACCTGGTCAAGCTCTGCTGTGCTCCCTCCTCGGGGGCGGGGGGTCCCAGTAGTCCCGCCTCTTTTGGATGCGGGCTGGACCAGCCTCTCCACTTCACTGAGTGCTGGCTTCACGGTGGTGCGTTTGCCTCCGCCTGCTTTCGCCTGGGTTGTCGCTCCCACGAACTCATGAGTGGGTGCCACTGCCACACGTGGCTCTTTCCACGAAGTAAGGAAAAGCTCGGAAGAGGGAGCCTTCGGGTTCCTCCCCCACGCTCGCAGCCAGACCTCTAGTTGCTCGTGGGCTTGGATCTCATCGGGGTCCAGGACTCCTGCCTTCCCATCGGTTCCAGTCAGAGCCTGCATGAGACTCATAGCCACTTGCCAGCCTGGCTCCCGGACTGCAGCTGCTATCATGCGATCCTTTCTCTTCGAGTCGGCGGAACGCCAATCCTCTGCGAGGCCCCCTTGCATTTCCCACACCTCTTCTGGGAGGAGAGGACGGACCAGACCCGTCCCATCTTCCAACAGGGTGCCTCCTGGGATCTTGAGACGCTCACCTGTGAGCCTAGGTCCGCAAGCTGGGCCCCGTGTGCTATGGACCAGGTGCCTGCTGCCGGCGCGCACGTCAACCAAGTGGCCGACTGGTTTTGGAAGCCACTTGTCTCCGGTGGTGATGAGGTTTGGTTCTCTCGTGAAAAGGTAGTCGGGCGGGCATAATCCCTTACCTGACTCCTCTGCGGATCGCAGAGGTAACATCTGACACTCGTTGACTTGTGCAACTCGCCATGCTTGAACTCTCTCCTTTTCGTCGGCCGTTCCTCCAAAAAGCCAAAGTCTTCTGGCCCTGGCAAAGAAGCTGCCGTGGTGTGAAGTCTGATAGTCGACCACTTGTGCCTGACCCCATTGAACCTGAAGCTGCATCAGGCGATTTCGGCTGGTTTCAGAGAGCTCCCTGGGCTGGTCAACGATAAGTCGTCCTCTCCAATCAGTTCTGGCGAGGGTTTTTAGAAGGATGTCTGCCTCCCGCCCTTTTGGGTCTTGAGTGAGAACACAGACGATCCAGTCAGCTTGCGCCTGGCTTGCGATCGATCCTCCGCCCTTGGCCCACCCCAGCTCGAACGTCAGTAGTTCCGACCCTAGCCGGATTTGGTGGAGTCCCCCTTTGAATGGCTTTGGTTCGATCTTGGCGGGGAAGGCATGCACGGTTTGCTGTTCGTTGGCCAGCTGAATGGCTAAAGCTGCACTCGGGCCCTTCTCCCCTGGTAGCTTCAACGTGGGGCGCATGGCTTCTCGCAGGAGTCCTTCCCAGTCCTCATTGAGCTCGAGGCGGGTCCAGCCACTGCTTTCCATTTCCGCATGGACCTTGTCTTCATCCTCCCTTGTCAGCCAGTCGTTGAGAGTATTGTGGTAGGTACGGACGTACGCTCCATCGACAGTGAAGCTATTCTCCGCTTCGAGCCGCTGGAGCAGCAGCAAGAGCGCCCTCACGTATCTGTTTGAAGCGCGCCTGGTACGTAACCATGCTTTGACATTCATGTTGTCAGTCACATAAAGGATCAGTTGCCCCTGCCAGGTTTCCTTCCGCGCCGCTGCCAGGACAATGAACGTCAGAAGCTCCATCACTCCGATGATCTCCAAGTGATCTCCGCCCCCTACGACTTCGCTCACGGCCCTGACGTATCTGCTGCTGTCCGCCATGTGGTAGCATCTATCCTTCCAATCAGTGCTTCCGAGCCTGGTTAGCGTGGCATCTCCTCCAACGAATCGGGCCGAAGCGGCCATGCCAGGGAGTGCGAGCCTTTCCCTTAACGGCAGGAGCTTGCCGAAAGCTGCTCTGAAACTGGTTCCCCAAGGCTTTTCCATCTGGAGGCGAACCCAATCGAGCGCATCCCAGAACTCAGCCCAGGCAGCCTCTAGCTCACTCTCGGAGCCCCTGGGTTTCACCCATTCATGATCGCCTACTTCCTGCTGCAGGAGCCTGTAAAAGACTGGTAGATAGGGTGCAATCTCCGGAGCGGAGACGGCCCAATACTGCGCTGTCCCTGCCAGTTCTCGGAGCAGCTTGGTACGAACTCGTTGGCACCCCCTTTGAAGCTGAGGCTCTCTTAGGAGATACTTCGCCTTTATTCGCTTCGGTTCCGGGAGGACCACAACCTGTTCTTCAAAGTCTAGGTGGAGGCCCCACAGGAGCTGGGATTTTGCCGGGGTGCCTTCTTCGGCGAGCTTGTCGAGATTGATGGCTCCAGGGCCCCAGACTGATACCATAGCTGCATCCATTGCTGACAGGGATCTCTGGATCCTATTCCCCACTAGTGGCTCTACCACCACGCCGTCATCCATCAGCCATCGGCTGGTGTAGGGAACCACATCGTTGAATTGAGGATGGCATGGTCGGAACGACCCGTGGTGCTTTTGGGCTGCGGTGGCCCATATCACGAACTCCCCTGGCGCTCCTACCCAACCGAACACCATCACCAGACTCAGGATCAGCACACCTAGAATCCTCGTGCAGAATTCAGGGACATCGCCCGGCTTGAGGAAGTGCCACTTGAAAGCCCTTGGCACATCGCGTTTCGCACACCTCTGTGGAACCTTCGGGTGTCGCCCCTCCACCAAAGGCTTTGCCTGACCACTGCTCTGTGCCTAGGCTGAGCGGCGGGTGGGTGGTCGTATTTGGAGCCCGAAGCATTCCTGGCTCGCATATCGTTGATGGGACGACCTTCCGCTGAGATGGTTCTGTCGGGGTTTTGCTTGGGCACTCGGCCGAGAGGGCTCTCGGCCACCTTGCTCTCGGTCAGTATCTGGTCGATTTGCCGATTTTCTTCTTGGTCCTCGGTCTCTGTGGAACACAGAAGTACCGCCCCATAAGATGCGTCTTTCCATGCCTTCTGCAGCATCTCTTCCTCGTGCCCCCTGACGGAGCCGTGGTTTCGGGCCTTCTCTCTCTTGGGGGTACTCTTAGCTCGGCTGGGCACGCCCTTGAGCACACAGTCTTTCAAGTATTGCTCGTGTAGGGGGCTGAGCCCTTTCAATGCTCCTTCCTTTGCCTTCTGGAAGTGTTCCCCATACTTCCTCAGCCTCGCTTTGTTGACTAATTCAGCTGCTCTTGGCACCGAGCCGGCGGCCCTCAACAACGCATTTCCTGCCTCTGTGGCTTTTCTCACTGCCTCCTTGCTGTAAGCACTCTGGCATACCTCCAAGTATTTCTCAGCAGTGCTTTGGCCATTGGCGTCGTCGACGCTGCCTGCCCTTGTGCCCTGCCCCTCAGCTTGCTTTTCGGGATCGGAAACAGACCCCTCCCCCCACAAAACGTACAAGGGTAGACCATCTGTTGGAGTTCGCATCCTGAACAGGTGTAGCCATGTGGGAGGCCTGGTCCATCCGCTTGGCCAGCAACCACCGGTGCCAAATGTTGGCCAAGGGTTCGCTCCAACGTATTGGCTGGATCAGCCGGCCAAGGGGGTGCGTCCAGTTCGGTCCAACATTTCTCTAGGGCTTTGAGCACGCTGTGCTCTTGCAGATATGTTGTCCAGCTCCATTCTTCAAAGGCTGCTCGGACTACCAGACCCCAGGCTGCACACAAAGCTGGTGCGTATTGCTGTGCCAGTCGAGTGAGAGGTACTTGAGGAATTGGACTGGGTCCCTTCAAGGGTGCGTGCTGGTGAGTCGGGCCGACTCCTGGGCACTGCCTACCAAGGAATAACAAGGCCCATGGGTAGAGTTCTGGGGAGACCAGCCACCAAGAATGCTTGCGATGAAACAGGCCCTCCTCAGTCTCAGGCGGTCCCAGACCCCAAGCGCACATAGCCATAGAGACAATTTTTGCGCCGGTGCGGCGGCGGAGCCTCTGCATACAAGGCAGGTCCCATATCTTGGGGTAGCGGCCCGACGGCGCGCTACTCTCCAATGCGAAGACTCTTCCGTTGTCCGCCAGAACCGTACAAAGTTCGGCTGCGAACTCTGCGTCTTCATTTCCTTGAACTTCAGAGGGACGAGTGCCGTCGCCTTGTGGGCGTTGCCAGGTCCTGCTGCCACCGTTCTTCAGCTGGTGGTCGCAGAAGGAAGTACAAACGACTCCAAGCTGCCAAGTGTTGGGGACATCGGGCCCTGGTGGAGCACCAGCTAATCCCAGCAATCGTTCTCGGACCTTCGGGTCACGGGTATCATGCTGCGGCTTAAAGCCCTTTTGCTCGATCGGGTCCTCATAGTATTCAATGGGTTCTCCGCACGGGATCCCCTGGTACTGAAGCCCCTTGGTCCATCCTGCCCATCCAGCGTACACCTCTTGACCAATTGGCCCATAGGCGAAGGCGAGCCTTTTTCGCAGAGGCACACCGCTGTTTTGAAGAGCCTGTGGATCATCCTGCAAGCAGGACTCAAATGAAGCCGGTGGCAACGGGAATCCTTCACCAACACGATAAGGCCTTTGCTGCTGTTGCTGGCATCTTGTGCAGGCGGGGGACTTGGCTGGAACCATCTGATCCTCCACTTTGCTCTGGTCCAAGATCACCCTCCAATGTTCAACCTGAAGTTCCCTGGTGACCTTGTCTGCAGTCCTCAGGTGATCCAACAGCTGCTGGGGCTGTTGTGGAAGAAGCAGGCGCATATGCCCCCGGTGGATGGTAACGAAAACTAGCTTCCCATTGCCAGCATCATCTCCGTGGAGCAAGTCGACCTCCAACCGACCAAAATAGGAAATCCTGAGGACCGCCAACGTGTATCCTTGCAGCATGGATCCTGTGAGGGTTTGCAAGGCGCGGTAGTCTTTCTCGTGGTGAGGATAGAGGCAATCATGGACGTTTTGACGCAAGAAGTGCTCGCCCTCAGGTATCCACGCTGGCGGATCGCCAAGGTGTGCGTGAGCCTCCACTGCTTCATCCCAGAGATGTTTTCTCAACTGGTTGGCTCTGGCTACGGCCTCTCGTAGTTCTACAGATGGATCATCGGCCAACGCTAACCCGACACCCACATGAAGAGGCAGGCATTGGCGCTCTTCTTCCAACTGCCCGTCTTGCAGTGGGACCTCGCTGTCTTTTGCGTTCAAGCGATCCTGGTAGTCACGGACCGTGACTGAGCCGATATGCGACAAGTTTCCTTGAAAGTTCAACAGGCCATGACCAATACCCTCGTCCCATGTGATGGGCGTAAATTCGACATCCGCTTGGTGACCCGCTTTTGGCTCGTGCTTGAGGAGCTCAAGTTGACGTCCGGCTTCCTTAGAGAGCGCGGGATGTCCATGTTCTGCCGCATCTTCGAGACACCGGTTCAGCTCCAGTTCATATCCTTCATCTTGTGCTGCCATCATGCGTGCAATCACATGGGACCTGAGATAATCCGTGGGCGACTCCAAGGCCGCCAGAACCCCTTTCTCCTCCAGCGACTTCCATCGTTTCAGCCTTTCCCGCTCCTCTTGGCTCTGGTCATCCCAAGCCGGAGCGGCTTCTTGCTCAGTGGGTTGTGAGGGTATTCGCAGCCAGCCCTCATCTGGGCCCTGAACCGCCTCTTGCAAGTCAGTCTCGAGATGGGTCAGAGGGATATCATAGTCTTCAGGTGCGACCCACTGGGTGTTCCCAACCTTGTCTTCTTCAGCTTTACCCTCAGCTTCCTTCCCAGCTTTGGCCTTTGGCTTGGGCTTGACTTTCGCTTTCTTGCTAGGTTGGATCTTGTCGGCCTTATCCGCCGCTGCCTGGGTTCGCAGCTGAGCGACCCTTCCGTCGACCTCTTTGGGATCGATTTTCGGCCCACCTTTGAGTCCTCCTCTTCGAATGACCTGCATGGCAACTGTGTAGTCAAGTTTGGCCAATCCCGGCAAAGGCTCGTGCGCGTGCTGGCACTTGTCGCCTCTTGTGCATCCCATGTGTGTGGCCGCATCCCAGCAGATAGGTTTGTTGGTCTTGGGATCCTTAGGTGCGTGCTCCACGGACCGTGAAGCTTCTCCTTGTGTAAGCCGTTTTCCAGCTGGGTAGGCTGATTTCATGCTGCCGCCCGCATATCCATCGGCCTCTTTGTCTTTCAGGTTAAGCTTTGGGGCTTTCCCTGTCCTTGGCTCTTCATCTTCAGCTGGACCAGCTGTCTTCTTCTGCTTGAGGTTGTGGTCGTGCAGCTGCTTGTGGAGCAGCCTCGACATTTGCCTTTGCTGCCTGGGTACCACAACTGTCTGGTAATATCCGTTCGGGTCGCCCAGATCCCATATGCTTGGAAACTGGAAGTTTGCTTGCCCATCCGCTCCCGGCGCCAAAGCTAGCAGCTTCAGGTCTTCAAGCCGTGGATTTTCGGTCCCCAGCAGAGAGCAGAGTTTCCTTCTGCTTTCTCGCAGTTCTTCGCACCAAGCCGCGACAAGTTCCTCAAAGAGCTCGATGCAGTAGGCAGCTGGGAAGGCATGCTCGTCTTCTTCATGGGCCTCCTTCAGGGCTTGGAGACAATCGAGCCTTTCTTGGATATGCTCTGTACCATAGCAGGATCCAAACACGCGAACTGAGTTTTCCGCGTACCTGAGCCAAGTGTTGAAGACTCCTGGTGGTCTCATGCGATTTTCGATCTTGTTGTCGGAGGACGGATTCCAACTGTCCAACTGCTCGGACCGAGCGGTAACGCAGTCACTTGCGTGCAAGGTATAGGTGTCTTTGCCACCCCACCACAGACCAGCGATGCCAAGTAGGACCCTGTTGGTCATCAGCACCGGCCATTTGATCAAGTGCAGCATATGGCGAGCGTGATTTGCCACCCTTTTCCCCGCGTGGAAAAGTTCCTTCCCGTACACTCCCGGTGCGAGTTCAACGGTCAGGGTGCCACAGCCTCGTGCCAGGAAGACGTCCATCTTCTCCGCCTCTTTGATAGAACTCAAGGTCCCTTTCGTGAGGTTTTTGTCGTCATCCTGTGCTCTTCTCAGACCGTCGATGGCGTGAATGATGCGGTCCGCGCTCTGGACTTGTGTGCTGTCTCCGAGGGCTTCTCCGAACGTGGCTCCTGCTCTGCCCTCCGGCATCTGCTCCGATGCTGGTTTCACGAGACTGTTTCGACCGCCTGACCCCTTGGGAAAGAGCGACAATCCACCTCTCTGGACCGGGGAGATTGAGGAGGAGCTCCTCGGCAGAAGTGGATTCGCCGGCCGGGGGACTGCTGGCTTTACGGTCACTCCTCCTGGCATAGTTGCCGTCACGGGTCTTCTTGCAAACTCCATTTCGCTTTGGTCGGCTCCCAATCCTGGTGGTGTCGTTGGCTTCGAGTAGCTAAGGCGGTGATTCCTCGCATACATCGACTGAGCCAGTTGCTCATGATCTAGGTCGAAGGCAGTGGCCACGGTCTGCAACACTTCGGAATCTATCTCTCCCTCAATGTGCTGGTCAAGAGCTCTTCGAGCCGCCTCCATTCTTCCCTGGCGATCTGAATCATCTAGGTCTGGGAAGGGTGGAATCGCCGGTCCCGCACCCTCTTCCAGCTCGACTTTCGGCTTTGGCGGTGTCATAAAGTCGTCGGACATCTCAGCTTCTTCACGCAAATATGCATCAGCATGTGGGAGGATCTCCCGGTAGAGTCTCCCCTGCCAGGCTTTACTTGGCTTCGCTCCTTCATCCGTCACCTCACCGTCCCAGGCATTCAGGGCCGCTGCTTGGTCTTCGGACAGGCGCGCGACCAAGACCGATATCCCTTGGCCGACTTCTTCGTCATGGGTATGCTGAAGGAACTTCTGCACCCAATGCTTACTAATTCGACCCGCCCCGTTGTCTCGAGGGGACCCTTTCAACAGCCTTCTGTGGATCACACACGTTTGCTTCAAGGAAGGGATGTGGACTTCGAGCAGCTCCTGGCTGCGCCCTTCTTCGGCGAACCCCTCGATGCGCCCCAACCATGCAGTCCACCTGGGTGGGGCCTCCGCGGTTTGTAATGACTTTGGTCTGAGGAGCACCATGCACGGGCCCTTCTCAAGCTTGCCTTCAATCTTCTTCTGGGATTCACTAGGATCGGCCGAAGCAGCCCTGGGCCCAAGTCGTTCAGCGCCGTCAAAGATGATCCGGCGGCTTCTTCGTGCAGGGGTGAGGCATTCTCCTTCGGACATAGATGCCTCGGATCGTGCAATGGAGCTATCTCTCTCATGTGTCCAGCTAACCCTGCGGGTAGGGCGAGCACAACCACCAAGGTCCGTCAGGTGGTGCTTGCAGAGGGGAACTCCCTGTTTGGCACCATCAACCTGTTCGTAGCAAGCCAACACGCTGCATTTTCGGCTTGAACATGCCGCCACGTAGAGCTGCCGATGATGGTCGCAAAGCCTGACGGAGGATCTCCTTTTGACGTCAGAGAGTTCTCTGTCCCTCTCCAGGAGCCGGACCGGCTCTCCGATAGCCCGATCTGCACATGGGTCTGTGGCCAATGCTCTCGGTTTGCCTCCATGTTCCAAACCGACTAATACGGCCTCACAAGGGTCATCTTGTACCTCTACTTCAGATTCAGATTCCGCATCCAAGGGTCTGACGACGGCTCCTTCGACTATGGTTCTGGGTGGCGTCCGCTTTGCCCAGAGTTGTCTGAGAATGAACCATCCCGTCAGATAGTACACGCAGAGACTAAGCCCCCGCACCATTCTACGTAGCCATCGACCCATCAAGACGATCACCCTGCGGGTGGACCACCCTGCATAAGCTCCCAAATCCACCAGCCCATTGGCATCCACCGAAGCGTAAGCTTTGCAATGTAGACCGGGTGTTGGTTGCAATTCAAGCGGACACCGCTGCTCGCGACAGAGATGGATTTTCCCCTCCTGTTCCAACGTTTGGCGAAGCGCTTTCGACGTGGAACCCTTCACTCCACGGAGACGAACCCATAACCCGTATCGATCCACACGTGCCCAATGATCCCCGTCTACCTTCAAGCGAGCTATTTGGTCATTCACCACAACAGCTACGTCATTGGGTTTTCTTTCTGAACCTCGACCCTTGACGCCTCGTTGGTAGAATTCGGAATCGACGCCCCCGCTAGAGGCGGGTCCACGGATATCCAGCTTTTCGTATGTGCCCCCAGGTCTAAGTTCGGGGAGGAGCTCCCCCACCTCTTTGGCTACTGCTCTGGTCTGTCTGCAGCAACATTTGCAGAAAGCTTGACAGGGCCGGCAGATAACCAATAGCAAGTAGAGAATCAAAATTGCTCCCAAAACCACGATGGCACTTAACAAACATCTGGCAACCCATGGCCAAAAATCTCCGCATGTCCACACCCCCAGCTGATCCAAGAAGTACAATCCCCACCCTCCTGAGGAGCTCAGGGTTCCAGGTGCTGTTGGTGTGCTGAACCATGAGGAGCCTATCCATGAACGGAAATCAAAGTGGAGGACAGAGTATCCCCACACATGGGCTATTCCTTCAAACGGGATTCCAGATTGAGAACTTTCCTTCGTGGGATCGGACTGACCTTCTGATACTTCGGGTTGATCTTTCCCATTGGTGACTTCTTCCTCCCTAGATCCAGTCATCCCATGAAAGACATCCAGGTACCATGGCAGGCCATACACAGAAGGGGAACCTACACTGGAAACTAGCCCTAATATGAGCGCCCAATTGCAAATGGGCATTATGACGATTTCGTCAGTATCCAACAATCAAAATGGGCAAAGACTTGAGCCCAAAAATGACAGTAGCAAAACACGCTAACCCTCCGTTCTAGTGAACATCCAATTATATGAATCGTATTCCCCGGGTCATTAGCGTTCAGGGGTATATTGACGACAACACGATTGCAGGACCAGGACATGACATTACCTGGGTAGGTAGAGTCCACAAGTGTTATCAATGTTGCTGGTCGGCAGGTTTTCAAATTGACCAGCATGCTTGTTGGCAAGCTATTAGCACTGACTGCCCCCCTTTTTCATTCCAATCACTGCCTGGGCGGATCGAAAGTGAAGCTATCCTCCGGCAGAAGACATACCCAACTGCACGAGCAGCGATTTTATCGGCCATCCTTTCACAAAAGACACTCATACTTGCACGAGCCGAAAAGTGTATTGGGCTGACCCCTCGAGAAGCTTGCCGTATCCTTAACGGAACTGATTACACACCCATTTGCTCATTGTTGGCACTGGAGTGTAATTGTAGATGCAAAACAGCTCTAGTAATCAACAGCCCGCTTCCAAGCTGGGTGCTCCGTCAGTTAGATCAGTCTGGATTCGGAGCGCACTGCATCCAAGGTGTTGCGACCTCACTCGGGCTATTACTGCTGGGGCGTGCCCAATTATCCGATCGCGACTTATGGACAGTAACTACACATCCTACTACCCTGAAACAAATCAATCCTAAAGCTGCCGAAAAGTTTATACATCGGCTCAGGCTGTTTCGGCAGCCAATCCTCTCTGTTGTCTCCAAGAGTATTGCCTTCAACACTTTCGCACAGAGTGTTGTACTATATACTACATCCTACTTTGGTGCTGCCACGGAAGATCTTCAAATGCTACGGGCGGCAGCAACTGAACTCCTATTAGGACGTAGTTGGATTAGACAGGACCTCCTTGCCTTTGTATTTCGATTGTGTAAAATTGCACCACTACTTGACCCTGGCGTAAGTATCCTTGTGTCTGCATTAGGGCTGTTTCTGCGAAAAGGAGGCAAGGTCCATGAACTTTATGTTGAGAGTCCTCCGGCAGTGAACAGACAAACACACGAAGTCAGGATACTATGGCAAGCGTGGGCACGTATCGTTGGAGAAGATGTCCTAACAAGAGCTGTGTCAGGAAGTGGTACAATCAAACAAAGAATAAATGCAGTTAAAAAATGCGTGCTTCATCACATGATGCAACTTGCGTCTCACTATGTTCGTAACAAAGTGCTGACAGCAGGATGGACGGGAGGAGTCAGTTGGGCATGGCTCAGTCATGCTTGCGAGGCCAACAAGCGATGGATTCCTAGTATTGCTAGGTTCACCTTGCTACGCTGGGCAGTCAATGAGGATGATGATGAGTGGTTAGCACGACGTGGCCAAAGCCGGCAAAAAAAGTGTGCTCTCTGCACAAACTTTGGCCGTGCATACCCACTTGGCGGCTGTCAAACCGCAATTTGTGAAACATGTATAGTAACCAAACAGTTAACGGCCTTTACGACAGACTCCCTTGTCAGACTGCTTGAGGCATCACACAGAGAACCCCCTATGCAAGAAGAATTGCCAAAAAGTGAAGACTGGGAGAAATGTGTAGCATGTACAGAGGGAGACAATACGGTAGGGCATTGGGTTCGGTGGTGCGTAGTACCTATCCGTGCGCTACGAAGCCTAACAGGAGATGATTCAATCCTGTCGCTGGCCGAAGGGTCAAGGAAAAGCACTAAACACCTAGCAATAGCCTCACGAGTAGTTCATCAATTCAGGTTACTACTACGGGAAGCTGGTGCAATGAGACATCAAATCTCTGCTCCCCTTATCCCCATGAGCACCTGGATCCATAACCTCGTGCAAAGAGTACAAGCAGAGCTACCACTGGACCTTCGTATGCAGCACGTAAGGACACAATCAGTTTCCGCCCACTGCTCTGCTGATGACTCGCTACTCTGTTGCTGTGACAAACCCCCACTCCACATCTCGTGCGCCCTTGCACCAGCTCGAGTATGCATTACGCTCGAAGCAGTGAAAGCCAATCAAGCAGTTGCGGTCGTCTCCTTAGGCTCCGAACCTCTACAATTAATTCAGCAAACTATCCAGGTCGGAACAGGAATTTCCCCTAATGTCTCGCTTTCCACTTTCCAGTGTGAGTGTGGTGACTATCATTGCCGTATTACGGCATTACAGCCTATAGGCACCAATGAAGTGCTCAGCAGCTATCTTGAGTCTGACAAAACTACACTACTAGTGCAATTTGATGGATCCTGTCATGCTGATAGAGGAACAGGTGGAGCGGGCGCTGCTCTCCTAGAACTCCAACGAGAAGGATTAACGTTGCTCAAATGGAGAGCTGTCGCATTGCCTAGCTGCCCAGACAACATCTTTGCTGAGGCGGTGTCAGCAAATCTTGCAACAGACCTTTTGTGTGAGGAAATGGTACATAGAAGTTACGCAGTTGACCAGGCTTATCTACAAGGAGACATCCTCCCCATCGTCAAGCACCTAGCCTTTGCAGGACGCTTTCGTAGGATAGACCTGCAGCCCATTATACAGCAAATTCGTCGGAAACAATCGAGGTTTTTTGACAATGGAAAATGGGTATACCGCCCAAGAGAAGCCAAAATACTTGCAGATTATCTTGCTGGTGTGGCTAGCAGAGCGGCCCAGGCCTTCCCAGCTAATGTTAGCGAGCCTACTGAAATCGTGGTTGAAGCACCCTATCAATTGGCTATGCGGTCTGGAGCCGTTGTACTGGAAGAGAGGCCTCTAGGTATCACTATACTACTACTTACTGAGGTCCCAAATATAAGTCTAGAATTGGTGAATAAATTCATTGTGCACGCTGCTAACCAGCAATATCACAAAGAGGTGGAGGCCTATCTAGCAGGCACTGCCAATCTCACGAAACCTCGAGTAGTAGAGTATACGGCGTCTGCAACAGACTATCTGGGCCGACTGTACGGCAGAGGTCCCTGTGCTCAAAGACTTCCACGAAAGGTGCGATTACTCCTGTTTGGAACTACGCACCAGGAAGTGGACATGATCGGCTCATTCTATGAAATCATGAGACGACTCCTTCGCAGCAGCCACCTCCCACACATAGCAGATCTTCGAGCAATACTTACCGATCTTTTAGGGTTGGTATCGCTGAATCAGCGGTCTGCTGTTGTAAAGCGACATCCGCTAATTGTAATGAATGCAGGGGCAAGAGAAGCGTGTGCCAAAATAGAAAGGGAACACCATATCACATGTCCACCAGCTCTATACCATCTCAGTCTACAAATTGAATCAGCAACACAAGCGCTTGTTAATGACCACCTGCCCCTAAGGAGGCCACAATATGCTGCTCATATCAGAGGTGCTGCTTTTCGAACTCTTGAATGGTATGAAGAACACATCATGATCTCTTACTACAAGGAGCTAACGAGAAGGTGTCATGTAACATCAGCAATTTGGCTTCATGACGGACTCTGACTCCCAAAAGAAATCTCTCCACATTTAATACATGAAGCAGAACGGGCAATGCTCCACCAATTACAGCTGGATTCATGCGATCCCCCCCTTTTCAGTATACGTGAACTCGCCACAGATGCTCAAGCTCTTATACAGACTCTCGAGGAGGTTAATGTGACCAGAAATCCCTCCCCACTCCCACGTACCGAAAAGAAAAGAAGCATCGAAGGTGAGCTATTAGGGACGCGGCCCATTCGATGGAACACACAAGCACCGACCTCAGGCTATGATACCTTCACAGAACGCATAGCCAAACGTCGTAGAGCAGCTTAAACGCCCATTCTCTCTACTGTAGCCTAGTGGAATTCACACCTGGATGGTTATTGTTTTTGTCAGGCGTATGGTGATTCCATCCTATCCTAGAGAGACGCCTCCATTGACTACGCTAGTCAAAGTATCACCTTACTGTTAGTAGCCACGATGACTGACCTTTAGCACCTATCCCTCTATACCCATCCTAAGTCACGGTGACCTCCCACCAAATAAGTACGACAAGTGCTCTAGAATCCGATATTCTCGACTTCCTTCTCTTGGAACACCTTTCTCTGCTTTACTGCTTTTAGGTATGTCGTAATACTTTGACTCAGGAGCCGTTTTACTGCTCAAAGGTAGTCAATCTTGTATTTTATCTCTGCCAATGAGCACGGAGACCGAGAGACCTAGACAGAAACCGTTGCCATGCTCAGCGAGCCTATTATCCCATCAAGTCACTCAGCTGCGAAATGGCCTGGTTAAGGCAACTGACAATGTGAGCCTAGCCGGCCCGGGAACTGAGGGTGCTGTCACTCAATTGAAATTGGCCTTAAGGGCGCTAGAGGGAGCTCTGGTACTCCTGGCAAATGATGAAGGAAATCACGTGGCCCCAAAACGAGAATCGTGCGAAGAACAAACTGACGAGAAACCGTTAACGGTCATAGATCGAGCAAGAATCTTTCAGAGATGGGATGCAAGTCGTAGGCAAGAGAAACACGGCAGGCAACAGAGTTAGAGTTCTGTTAAGCGAAAGTTCGATGAGTGAGCGGACCTATCTGTGCACATAGCGATTGTGCCACAAGCAGCCATCAGCGCAGAGGGCAAAATGACTTGTCAACTGAAGTAGTTGTTTTTTCTAACTGTGTAGTCACTTGACTCTCTCTCCTTGATTTCGACACTAGGTGTTGAGGCTCCACGGTCACTTCATTTGATAACTTCCTTCCTTTCGCCCTTTTTTCTGTCTGGTTTACTTGTGATTGTTTTGCTTTGCTCTTGTCTGGTCTCCCGTGTGCTATGAGCTTTGATCCCAAAGACATACTTGATTGGCATTACATATTGTCGGGGATTCCTTGCAGACTCCTATTTTGGCTCCTTAGTTGGCGACATTATGAGGTGAAATGACCC